CCATCCGCACAGATTAAATAAAAAAATTAATTAGGGTATGTTCTTCCTGATTATGTTTTTTCAGATCCGTTAAGCTGTTCTGGTGATACCTTCTAATCTCAACTTTCGCATTCATAATATTAGAAAGATTTCTACAAATATAAATTTTCAGATTTCTATAGGTTCCCTAAAGGTATGTGGCAGTTTCATATCAGAATGCAATGCAATATTATCGATATCAAAACTCGAATATCGTTCGTTTTGAAAAATATTATCGTCGTAGGGTAAATCGTCGAGGGCTCATCCAAAATTACAGTCTGCGGCAGTCTGCGACGTTTTCACGACGAACGATATTGATTTCAGTTGAAATATGATTTTATTAAAACGTTGACGACTTGTATGCAAGACTAACAAATATACATATGAGATGAGTAAAGCAATATTTGAATAGATGGTATTATTTTAATTTGTTGGAAGAGTTGTAAAATTTTTATACTCTGATGTGTCCTTTATCTTACTAATATTATAAATGCGAATGTTTGGATGCAAGAATGGATTTTTGAATGTATCTCCAGAACGAATGCATAGATCGCGCCGAAATTGGGCACAGATCTAGAATATATTCTAGAAGAACACATAAGATAATAACTAAGTTAATAAGCTAGCTAGTGACTTCTTAAGAAAGTACAATCAATCACAAGATGTGATGTTCTGGCTACTAGGATATTTTCAAAATCTTGGGTTCTCTACAAATTTCATAAATTACGTCAGTCGTAATAATGCTAATGGAACATTGCAAATTGCAACCAACAATGTTGCCATTTAACGTGTTAATATATTTACAAATTAAAGACCGTAAAAACACGAGCCAACATGTTGTAGGACACAATTCAATTTATTACGTCCAATAACGCGGCGGAAGTTGTTCCACGTTATAACGGCGCCTAAGGGTAAACTTAACAATATAATGTTTACAATGTTTCATCACAAATTATTTAACACGAAATCAGGTCACGCGGAAGAAATATTCGGCACATTACTGTATTAAAACATTGAAGATAGTTAAGTGATTTTAATGCTTCTTTTACTAACGATGCTTTGGAAAAGCTAAAATTAATTATGATTATTTCATAGTAAGACGTAAGACACATCGAACTCTATTTCATTACAGACATGGCATAATTTTCATTCAGTTTAAAAAGCTAACTACACGTATATAATATCTTAAACACGAAAATCTTTATTATAACTGACTTTTCTAAGCAGTTCTTTATGAATAAGTTATAAAGCGCACGTTTCCTCAAAAAGTAATTACTTCGCCCGTTTAATACGGCGACTAAACTGAACGCGGACGTGCACCGCCGAATTAAACAGACAGTGATGTTTTGATAACGATCCTTGCTGTTGAAAATGTAAAACAAGGCCCAGTGGATACAAGATAAATAATCCTTGCTCAACATCTGTCACGATTCTATGAATATCAAAACAAATAAACAGGATAATTCTCTTTACGAGCCGTTTTAATAATAGATTTACGAGCGGACGGAGCAGCTTAATTATGGGTTTGTCGCTTCGTGTTGCACACACAAGATGTTAACCGTATTAACATATAATAATTTGAGGTAACACATAATTTGGAAGTCACAGAAAACTAAATCTCTGGTAATAACATCCCAAAATTCTACCTATGTATATCTGGAAATTACTACAAGGGATGAATTGTCTTAAAGATATTTGTCGAGACCAAAGACGATAGAAAAAATAAAATTGTGTCATCAGTTTTCTTTTAAAAACCATAAACTAAAATATTTTCTTGCACAGCTTACAGAAGCAAAGACAAAGACGTGTTCAAAGACACAATCTTTTAGTAATCGTAACTCGGTCTTTAAATATCAAAAAGAAGTAAAATTTGTCCGTTTTATGAGCAGTATTACGAACTGAAATCAAAATAACTCACAATTTTTTTTTAATTATACACGTTTTGGCTGCTAATAAAAACTTATGAGTCTAAAGGTATGTTCACACTGAATTTTTAAATGTGCATTAGAGTGGTGTAAATAGCAAATAAAGCCAATTGACAGGACTTAAAGCATTTTATCAATGCGGGTTATCAATCAAGGCGCCGTATAAAGTTGTTAAAGCCCAAACTGACAGATCATATTAGCTTTTAACAGCACATCCATACGTGTGCACGCAACCTTACTGACAAGAGCATATTTTATCAGTTGTAATGGGTAATGCAGAAGATATTTTGATTTTTTATTGTCTATTAATGGCATGGAGTAGGTGCTATAAATTAGATACAGCTAAATCTATGCGTACACGCGAATAAAATAGTTTAACGACCTAAAATTGTTATGAGCAATCAGTTAACATATTGTATTAAGAATTATATGTGGCTTTGCTTTATATTTCCAAAATTATTTTATAGCTAATGATTTTTGGTGCGATTTTTGTGAAAACAATTACCTATTTCTATGCAATGCAAAATTGAGCTATGTGATTCGATTCACTGATCTGTTTTACGCGTTTGAACCTTGAGCTGATCTGCAGGTCATCAAATTCATTTGAGTTACCCATTTAGCTCGTTTGACGGTTGGAAAAAATTAAATACGAAACAAATACATTTAATGAAAACTAATAACCATTTACTATGTACTGGCGTTTAAGTATTAAGTTTAATATTTACCGATTCCCTTTGCGTATTATATAACCCTGAGGGTTGTAAAGTCGAGTTACTTAAGAACTAACACAATGAGCGTTCTTCCCTCAGAGTCACGTTTACTTAGTTACAAGTTTCATGTAACACAAAAGCAGATTATTGAATTATGAGCTTCATAACAATACTAGACTTAGAACAAGTTTGTTTTATGAGGTCTCCTTCGAGTCACAGGTTTCGACTTACAAAACTTAGAGTTTTGGTTCGATCTTAACGTAATGCGCAATAAAAATTTCTCAACAAATACCAACTTTAACTCAGATTAAAAGCTATAATACTTTTATAGAAAATCTAATAAAGAGTTTAATAAAAGTTTTACTGTCAATTTGTACTTGAAATAAGTTTAAAAAGATAATAAATGCAATAAACATTGCTATCAAGACGGAGGTCAAACTTGTAGTTAAGCTTTGTATCGCTGCAAACATTTAAAACTTAAAAATACAAAAAAAATACATTGTAAAAAGAGGTTTGCAAACTTTTTACGACCGAATGATTCACATATAGTTCTTTTGCCTATTGAATTGTTAGTGCTTCTTATTTTAGAAACGTAATAATAGCGAGATATATGGTAGATAAGAAATACAAAGATACAAATACTATGATTCACAGAACTTACTTATCTTTTTAATACCATTATATGTAAATATGTATACATTGTAAAGGCATATACGTATTATGTTTGAAGTCTTTGTTTATGATTCTCGTTTGCTAAAATATTTATTTTTAGAAACTATCTTGTGCGTCGCCCTAGGTAAGTTACGTTGGTATGAATACGACGGTTTGACGCAGTGATAAACAGATTACGGATGGGCCAGAGCAGCAATTTTAAATTTTCTTGGACTACGGATCCCCATTGGAAAGTCGAGTATTTGACGGTACCCTAGATACTAGATTTTTCTCTGGAAGCACAAGTACCCCTTCAGTATCAATCAGTAGTTCAGTAGCTATATTAGTTGACCCCTCATAGCGGCTTGCCGCCACACCAGAGCTCCACGGAGCACACTTTAAGAAACGCTAGACTTGAGGATCCAGAAGCAATATAATCGATCCACGCATTTTACCTAAATCGTGCTAAAGTAAGTTAGAACATGCTTGGATAGCAAAGCAACCATAACCAAAAGAAATTCGAACCCCAGACTTGACTAGTAAATACATCCGCTATAATCCGTCGCGGTTAGCTATAGCAGTAAATTAAAATGCTGACGATTATTATATTTATTCTAGAGCTGGGACATTCCCAGGTCTAGAGCTCTGAAGTCGATTTATAAAACATTTACAAAACTAGGTCACGCATAAAAATATGTATGCAAATAAATATATAAAGGTAGCAACACTGCAGATATCATTTACCGATTTATTTTTGTGCTTTTTAATATTAAAAACATAACAGACCAATTAACGAAATCTAATGGCACGAATTATCTAAGCAAAGTTATAATTTTCAACAAGATTCCATGGATTTTTATCTAAAAAAACTATTTTATTTGTAATTGCTCTAATTTAAATTACCTTAAACGGTGAGAATTCTTGTTACTAGATTTTACCTTTTTTAGTCATTTCGTTGACGGTTTGACTAAATCGTCGATTTTTAAATTAATGAAATGAATTCATTAAGGCACTAATTTGTCATATGCCGTTTCTGTATGCATAAATCAGACATCAATTTGTTCAGAAGATTTTTTTTCTTGTTACAAGAAACTTTTAAGGTTGGTGGTGTTTTAGTTTAAAAATTTTCACTGGGGGACAACATAAATACCCATTAAGCGACTCTGAGTAAAATATTTACAGGAGCTTGCCGTGAAATGTTATATGTATTTTAGCACGTACGTCGACGGATACAAATAACAAACCATTCGCACTGCCTTCAGCATCTTCACAATTCATTCATTTATTTCGTGATATATATTAGTTCAATTATTTATTTTCGTTCAATTATTTCAGTAATGCATTTACACAGTTTTGTTGTATACGCGTAGATAACAAGAAAGTTATATCTGAATTACTTACTAACCAAGTCAGGCAAAAACTTTAATAAATTACGAACCCCCAAAAAAAACTTCAAAAAATGTAAATGAGATCATTTCCTATCCTTTAAAACAAATGTCATGAAAATTCGGTATGATAGCAATTGTAAAAAAAAGCATTACCAGTTGGTGTTTCGTAACCGGATTTTGTTTCTGAAATTCTTTGGTCTGTCGGGTAAACCGGCTTTCTGTCAGCCATTAATATCAACATAAACTTCGTTTCCTTAAAGTTCGCCAACAAAATAAAAAAATAAAATAATTTAGTTGTAGCTCCTCACCTCTATTGGGACTAGTCGAGGGCGACGTCCCTCTGGCGCGCCGGACGGAACGGGCGCCGCGCTTCCAACATAAACACACCACAAAAGTAAAACGATCGCGGATTACGGAAACAATTTAGTTAAGTTATTCATACACTGCACTGACACTCGTCCGACCACTGTATTCCTTTTGGACTTTTTGTTTTTATTCAAGAATTAATAAAAAGCGCGCATGCCACTTAAACAGTTAAAAATATTTTATAGACTTCGTTACAGTACCACCAACGACCGCCGCTCGATGACTGACTGGCAGTAGCGGTGGCGGGCGCCGAGCGCGCGCCGTTTGCGTCAGCCGGGTAATAATTTGCGGCGAAACTTGGGCAAGGGAGGAAGAGTGAGGCGCGGGAGGGTACATTTTACTTTAGCCGCATAATACCGGACATCGAAAATGAATGAAGCAGGGAGATACGGGACAGGTAGTAGCACAAGACTATTTTATTGGATACTACACCACCTATACCTAATACGTGTTTAGAACTTTTTAAAATTGCATTTAAAAAAATCTTATTGTCAAAAATAAATTAATTCATCTTGACAAAAAAATCTTAGTACTAAAAGTTTGAATTTGATTTGTAAAATGATGAGATTGGCCTGTCAGTTTGTCATTGGCGGAACACTTATAAATATTTACACGCTTTTCTTAAATCTAGTTTACATGACGAAAACCGTTCAAATATGCAAGATTCAACTAAAGTGGATATTTTGGACTAAATGTAGCAAAACACACACAGCATAATAAATAAAAAAATGCTATAATTAAGGGTACTTATAGATTTTAGGTTATGTAAGTTTTAACTTAAAATCACGGTCCACGTATATTTGGTGAGTTGTACGAATTAAATGACTTATTATGCGACGGAGTCAGAAAAAAACACTTAAAAAAATATTTTAGAAGCTTATTTTTTCGTATTATTTTTTTTATAAAATCCAATCATCGTAATGTTAGGTTATCTACATGTACCTATTTCAGAACGTAAAAAATATCTAACATTCGAAGTGAAGTAGCTACTTGAAAAATGATATACCTACGTTTTGCTCCTTATTTCGTTTGATGGATAGCAATTTCAGGCTTTGTTCTCCGATGTCAAGAGTATTTATAAACAGCTTACGACAGACCCTCCTCAAAGAAAGGACTAAAAGAAGGTACGTATTGATACTAACAGAGGCTTCCAAAACTACTTCACATTTTATCTACAACTTTAATTATTGCGATATTTTATTTTTCCATACATTTATTTCATGACCTTTTTAAATAAATACTTTTATTTTTTTAAAGATCAAAGCCATGAAAATTATTTATATTTTTAAATGACTACACATTCGAAACAATTAAAAATTATTACTTTTAACAACTTTATACACTCTAATTAGAATTTTATTTCGCTTGTTTTCATTAGCTGCAACTTCAATTGTCCTATATTTAAATTGAGTAGAGCCAGGGCTGTTGGCCGACAATTAAACACGAGCTCATATCTGAAGTGGGTTAAATGTACAGTGCGCTCTATAGTGTAAATCAAGCGAAACCATGCATTCTGCACTTGCTAATCTGCAGTTTGACGGTTACCAGTCAAACGGACGCAAATAGCAGCCGCCGACGTCATAGCAACACGGACGATGCCCTCTTTATTGTCTAAAGTGTTTAATTTATGCCTACAGCTAAGGAAACAATAACACGCAATCCTTCGCTGAATTTAAGAGGCTGAATGTAAAATAAATTCTCCTACTTCTAAACCATTGAACCGGAAAGGTGAATAGTACGTTCTAACATTTTCTGTTTATATTGAAATGCCGTTTGCAAATATTAAACACCGTCCATAATATCCGTACAATGTATTCATGCAAATAATATTTACTGTCTCGTGGTTACATTACGACGTAATTTACGTATATAAAATTCTATTTTACAAGCAATAAATTGTATTTTTAGCACATTCCCCCGTTATTTGGCTTCAAAACGAAAATATCAAAATAGGAAACATAAATTATTTCCAATTTAATGCCTCGTATTACCTCTTATTATTAACTACTTACGATATACGTTAAACTGGTCTAAATACATAACATACTAGATCCAAATTTTCCGTGTCACATATATTTTGTCTGGAATCTTGGATATAGTCCAGACCTTCAGTGGATCAGAACTAAATGTAACCCGTGTAATGTACACTTCTTGTTATCTCGTGTCAGGAATAAAAAGGGCTTTAAATCATATATTTTAGTACTACCGATTGTTTTAATGGGGAACAGCTAAACAATTGTATAGCCAAGGGCAGTTGAAAAAGACAAGGCTAAGATTGAATAGACGTAAAGGGGAAGGAAGAGTAATAAAATAACCTATTCGTTGGGTAACTTTGTCGTGATCGATTTTCCTCTTTGATTACAATGGGGGTCTTAATCGCAGGAGGTCATCATGCTGCTTGGCAAATGTTATTTCTAAAGTTTTTTAAATTCCGTTAACATGGAGCTGTGTCTGACAGCTAGTCTTAAATGAAAGGTAAAGAACTCAACACGTAGCATGACGTACTTATTTATTGAAAATATCCTTTTTACGATTAAGTTAATATGATTTTATGGTTTTATCACTGTTTGGTCACTGGAGTTTTTAAATAATCTTTCAAATCTGACTATTAAAAGGTAAATATGTTATTTATCTTTGCAATTCATTTGGAATTTCTACTTCTGTATACTTTGAATAATCTATTGCGATAGTATTGTAGCGTATTACTTCTATCACAGTAGACGTATGAGACATCTTTTAGAAATAACATTGAATAATGAGTAAAGACACGCGATATGAGTATAATAGCACACTGTCTGGCCAGCGGCGGTCTACGGACGCTTTTCCTTGTAATAATGGAATACAAACATTGACAATAGTAAATGTCCACAAATGCGAGAAATGAACCTGTCACTAAGGTCACCACGCTCCTGAGAACAAATGAGACGCTACTTATTTCTACTGCAACTTCGTATAATGCTACTAATTTATGAATAACATTTGATTTTTTGTTTTTAAATTAAATTCGGAGATTATGAATAGATATTAAGTAATTTTACGGTTTGATTAAGTTCTTAGTTAAAATAAAATTTAAAACTAGCGACCACTCTTTCCTAGTTCTCCAAGTTTCCGCTGCTACTAAGACTAAATGCTGATTACCATCATTATCTTAAACCAAACTAATTATGGACACGTATGACAAAGACGTTCCAATTTGTAAATTGGACTGAATTGAATTTGACTGCTACTAAGCGTAGGAATTATTTCCCGTCTTTTTAATAAAGTACAACGCGTCAATAAGGCAATACAACGAAGGTTATTTGACCTTTCGGCCTCGTCAAATTCATGATTCTTGTCACATCTCATATCGCCGTCCCCGGGCCACAGCGGCAACAGCATCACAGATTATCCCCGACATTGACGCGCTGCTCACGCGAATGACAATCATTCATTTTATATTTTCGCTCCTTGAAAACGTCTTCTATTATTTTGTGTAACAACAACAAACTAAAAATAATGCACATTCATTTATCTTTGGTACAGCTGAAATGGTTTTCATAAACTTTTTACAAAACAAACGTCAAATATACAAAAAAAAAACGGTAAATTTGTTGTACGTAGGTACTTTTGAAATTCACAACTGTCAGAACTTCTAATAAATCATACTGTAGGTCGCGTTTCTCCATGAAGCAATGAAAATCGAATCGTTACAAAACCACATAACACTAAAACGAGAATTTACAAAACATTCAAATTATACGACCAATAGCAACGAATTTACAAATATCATTCGACGTCGGTAAATTTGTACTGAAACAAGGTATTTCCAGAGCTGAACGTTTATTACCTGGTTGGCAGGAAGCTACGATATCGACCCTGGCGGATATAGACTGCGTTTCCTCGCAGCCGAGCCGCCGCGATGCGATAGCTGTGCATTGCAAGGCACATCCTTGCCGCGTACTGACTACGTCAGGGGTAAGTAACCTTTTTATATTTCGTATATATCGTAACTGATTATTTGAAAGGAAAGTATTAACAGTTTAAACATCATACTTTTAAATGAAGAAAACTTATTTACTCATACATATAATCAACAAAATAAAATAAGTAACCAAAGGTTTTTCACAATATAAATGCCAGTAAAAGCCACATTAAGTTCTAATGTTTTTTTTTTAGATCGACACCTCATGTTTGCCACCCCTGAAATAGGCTGTTAACAAGATCGTAACTCGAATGCGAATTGAATATATTTAAATACTAGCTGTGCCCATGCCTTTGCCCGCGTGAAATTCTGTCTTTGGGTAGCAGTTTAATTATTTAAGCTATTTATTTTACTAACACTTATAGTACGTAACAACAAAACATATTAAACCCACAAAACATTCACATAAACCTCATATATTCTAATACAAACTTTCTTCCCCTATTGGCTATTGTTAAAATATTTTGCACCCTTGAGGGTAACAACACATGTCCTATTTATTTATATCAAATATACCAATTTTCAACCCCCTTTTTAACCTCTTAAAACCCTTTTTTCGCGTTAAAAATTAGCCTATGTCCTTTACCAGGCTCTGGACTATCTGTATACCAAATTTCATTTAAATAGGTTCAGTAGTTTTTGCGTGAAATAAGGACAGACAGACAGAGTTACTTTTGCATAATATTAGTAAGCATATAACCAATAATACCTTCTGTCTCGTGCATTTTCAGTATTACAAAGCGTAGTGATGACGTAATATAAATTTGTATGTACATGATGTATTGTCATGGGTAATATATGAATAACGCATGTACGCTTTTATTTTTATAAATGACGAAGTAACACTGGCCAGAAGTAACAAAAGCCTTTTTATAAACGAATTGAAACTCTTTTCGTATAGTTCTAATTAATGTTTACAAAGTTTGCGTGGATAGATAATAAAATTTTTGGCTACTTTCCTTTATTAAGGTCATCAATGCTCATATCATTAAAAATATAACATGCAAGAGTTTTTAATAGTTCTTCATCAACAAAAGCAACGTGTTTGCCCGCCTCCTTACCCAGTACGTCATCGTGTTGAAGAGTTTCTGCTCCATATAACATGTTTG